TGTTATGGAGGTTCGATCCAAACCAACGATCTACGTCCCCCGTTATCAAGCTCTCTGTCACGAGCAAGGCCAATTTCACTATGTTGATTGACTTGTGGTACAATCCAACCCTTTACAAATCTTCCAGTGACTTACAAGTAAGGAGCACCGATTTTTTTTACAACGTTGAGCTTTTCGAAACCTCAACACGACACACAAGTTTAAAGAGAAATGAATTTATAAATTGAAACTTCTCTCTTAATAAATAATATGATCACAATTAAGTACTAAGAGAGAAACATGCTGGCACTTTAATGGATAGCAATGAGTGAAGCTCAAGTATTAAGTTTAGAAAAACTTTTATTGTGTTGAATGATTTTCAAGAATTGATCAAAAGTTTTTCTAAACAAAATGATTTGATAATAATAAATATGATGAGAAATCAATGCTACATTGCTCAAAAAAATCTCACTTCAATGCTTTCTTGTTGTATTAATGAATGACAAATGAGTTGATATTTACAGAAGTGAGAAACGCCAACTTTTTTGCCTAACTGGACGATCCAACCGGATGTCCTAAACAGTACCGAACGACCCAAAAGTAGCCATTGAAAATCAGTCAGAACGGTCAAAAATTTGACCGTTGCTGGCGAACTGGACGTCCGGTTCGCCTTAGCCATCTGGATGTCCGGATAGCCAGAAATATTTCAGGGCCAATTTTTGTTTTGTTTGCAACCCATAGATTTTTGCATGACATTTTTACTAGATATTTCAAGGTAAGTGACATTTAATAATATTTAAGATTAATTTGAAAATCTAACATTTGAAAAATAATTTCTGTGCAAACGTTTTAATGAAGTGAGTTTTTATCGTACATAAGAAATTCATGACTCGACCTTTCAGTCTCATTGCTAAGAATTAAAATATTTTACCTTTACAAACGAGCTAAGAACATCTAGTTCCAATATCTTCGATTAATTTTGGTGCAAGTACTCGATTTGTTGCCTGATTTTAAAATGGAAAATGTTTGTCTCAATTTGATTTGACATGAGTGCTCGATCGACTTTCATCTTGAGCTTTCTTGATCGAATAAATTTTGTCCAATTGTTTTGTCTCCAGTTTGATTAAGTCAGCAACATGTAATAGATTCGAATATAAATATTAGTGATAAACATACATTTGTTTGTTATAATCAAAACATAAAATTGACCATAGGTCAACAATGCCTAGTGTGTTACCATCCATTCGAAGTATTGATATCAAATTGACTTCGTACTTGAAACTGTCATTCCAAACATGCCAGCTTGGAGTAACCTTGAGGAGACTAATGAACCTCAAAGGCAAGTGGAAGAATTGATGATCAAAGGATATGCAAGAAAAATCATAAGTCCATATGTTTATCTGTGTTACTTGTGCCAAAGAAAAATGGGATTTGGAGTATGCGGGTAGACTGTCGACGATCAACAATATAACGGTAAAATATGGTCGCCTTATACCTAGGTTTGATGATATATTACATATATTACATATATCATACATATTTTGTAAAATTGATCATAAAAGTGGATA